CAATAGATGCAGAGAAAGAATTTGCTGACGTTCAACATGCATTTATGATAAAAATTCTCAATAGAATGGATACAGAAGCAAAGTACCTCAATATACCAAAGCTCACATATGAGAAATCCGGAGCCAACATCATATTCAATGGTGACAAAATGAAAGTTATCCCACTGAGAACAAGACAAGGATGCCCACTCTTATCACTTCTATTCAGCATAATATTAGAAGTCCCAGACAGGGCAATTAGACAAGAAAAAGAAATAAATGGGATCCAAGTAGACAAGGAAGAATTAAAACTGTCACTATTTGCAGGTGACAGAATTCTATACTGAAAACTCTCAAGAGTCCACCAAAAAACTATGAAAAATAATTAACAAATACAGTAAAGTTGCAGGGTATAAAAGCTGAAGGCCAATTAAGAATGTAATTTGTTCACGAAGAGATGCTAGAGTCCTAACTCAGGAAGTCCATGTCTTTACCCAGAGGACTGAGCATCTAAAGCTGAGTCTGTAATTCTGAATGAACGTCATAAAATAGGACTGGGGATCTTTCGACAGTCTCCTTAGGCACAAGGTGAGAACATTTTATAATTCTACCCCCTTGTAACGTCAGCCCTGGGAAGGACATGGCATGCAAACCCCAGAAATCATCTTTGCATTTTCTATCATCAACACGACTGGCTTTAGAAAAGCTTTTCAGTGCAACTCTAAAACAGGCAAAGAAAAGACTTGAATTTAAAACCTGAACCCATAACGCTCCTAGAAGAAAACATAGGACATAGCTGGTAAGCTCCTTGAAATTGGTCTTGGTGATGATTTTTTGGACTTGACACCAAAAGCAAAGGCAACCTAAAGAAAAATAAACAACTGGGACAGCGTCAAACTAAAAAGTTTCTGCACATCAGAAGAAAACATCAACAAAATGAAAAGGCAACCTACCAAATGGAAGAAAATAGTTGCAAATCATATATCTGTTAAGGGGTTAATATCCAAAATATATAAAGAACTCATCCAACTCAATAGCAAAAACCAAACAATCCAATTAAAATATGGACAGAGGATATGAATATATATTTTTCCAAAGAAGACATACAGATGACAACAGATACATGGAAAGGTACTCAACATCCCTAATCATCAGGGAAATGCAAATCAAAACCACAATGAACTATCACCACCCATCTGCTAGAATGGCTATCATCAAAAAGATAACAAATAACAAGTGTTGGTGAGGATGTGAAGAAAAGGGAACCCTTTTGCACTGCTGGTGGAAATAACGTGGTGCAGCCACTATGGAAAACAGGATGGAAGCTCCTCAAAAAATTAAAAATAGAAGTAGCATATGATCCAGCAATTCCACTTCTGCGTATTTATCTGAAGAAAACAAAAACAATAATTTGAAAAGATATATGCACCCCCATGTTCATTACCACATTGTTTACAATAGCCAAGATAGAAAACAAGCTAAGAGTCCATCTCTGGATGAATGGATAAATAAATTGTGGTGTGTATATATATATACATATATATATATATATATATATATATATATATATATATATGTACATATACACAATGGAATACTATTCAGCCTTAAAAGGCACGAAATCTTGCCATTTGCAAATACATGGATGGATATTGAGGGCATCATGCTAAGTGAAATAAGTCAGACAGAGAAAGACAAATACCACATGATCTCACTTACGTGTGGAATCTTAAACCAAAACAAACAAACCAAGCTCAAACATACAGAGAACAGATTGGTGGTTGCCAGAGGTGAGGGATGGGAGGTGAGTAAAATGAGTGAAAGGAGTCAAAAGGTAGAGTCTTCCAGGTATAAAATAAATGTCATATGGACATACTGTACAGCATGATGACTATCACTAGTAACACTGTATTGCATATTTGAAAGGTAGTAAGAGAGTAGATCTTAAAAGTTCTCTTCTCAGTAAAAAACATTTGTAACTATTTGTGGTAACTGATGTTAACTAGACTTATTGTGGTGATCATTTTGCAACACATACAAACATCAAATCATTAAGTTGTACACCTGAAAGTAAGATAACATTATATTTCAATTATAACTCAATAATGAATACTTAAATTAAAAATGAAAAAAAAAAGGCAGAGAAAGGCCTTCAATGGATTCCTTGCCACAAGATGAAGTGGGTCATTAGTTCTGTCTGTACTATTACTGTCTTCTGTCTATAGGTCTTATTTTTCCATTTGAATATAAAGCAATACATTCTTATACATGTGAGCATCCTTCACATAGCCATGCCCACTGTAGTGAGAGAGAGAGAAGTGGGGCTTTACCAGGCATCACAAGGTTCCAGCCCATATATTACTCTTGTACCTCTCATAGTGTACTAGGAAAATAAAGGATTTTTTAATCTAATTCCAGACTTATGCATTTATTCAACAATTAAATCAATACCTATTTATATTCCAGGTACTGTTCTGCTGGGCAGACAGATGCTAAACACAATAACAAATAGAATATATAGTATGTTAATGGCAAATGCTACTAAGGAAAATCCAAAAAGGAAGGAGATGTGAAGGGTGAGGTATCAGGAATACTAAAATTTTAGATGGTATGATTCAAACAAACTCTAAACATTTATCCATATGGAGAGAAACAGGAACACAATATGTGATGATATTAAGTAGTAACTATCAATTTGGAGAAGTTTTACAATGTAATTTTGGTTATTTAAAAAGACATTGCTTGTCTCAAGATACATTCTGAAACATTTATAGATGAAGTGTTGTGATGTCTGGGACTGGGTTCAAAACGATAGGGAGTGAGGGATGCAGGCAAGGTTGAAAGTGGGTGAGAATACAAAGGAAAGAAAATCTGTCAAGAGTTAGTATTCATTGAAGCTAAGTGTTGGGCATGGGAAATTCTACTTTTATGAATGTTAGAAACGTATCATTAAAAAAGTCTTTAAACTCTCCCACTATGATTCTCATTTTTCTTATTATTTCAATATTTGCTGTATACACTTTCAGCCTACATCAGCAGATGCACACACATTTACAATCATGCTTTCAGGTACCATATCTTCCCAGGGAAACAATTAATCTTCATTATGAAAGCACCACTTTTGTGCCTAGTAACGCTTTTCACCTAAAGTCTTTTTCTGTCTGACATTATTCTTAACTATTTAGGTTTTATTTTCCATTAGCATTGCATACTCAATGCAAAGGTTGAGTTGGCAAAGAGTCGGGTAGGCTTAATAAGGATATCGTATGCATGAATGCTCAGGTTGATTCTAGCACCTATTGATAAGCGTAAAGTCCCCATTCTCCCACATGTGTAGACATTTTGGTGTTGATCCTTACCTCTGGTCACAAGCACAAAGTCTTTTGCAAAGGAGATTTCAGAGCCATGTTAATTAAAAAGAGAATCCAATTTCAAATCACATTTTCAACAGAACACCAAATTGGGCAACCTTCCTACACCACTTAAGGCTTGGTGCCCACTGGTTTATGGCATTAGACCTTTGAGGGAGATGCTGTCCTTGGAATCAACAGCCACAATTCCCTTCCCCCTTCTCATCTGCACAAGAATCGAGGGCTGGGCTCCATGATGGAGATCACCCCCTCCCTCTCCCTGCCTGTGGCCCCATCACACTCAGAAAGTCACTGAGACCAACTCTGTGCAAGGTGCTTCCTTAGGCCCAGTCAGACACTGTAACTAGGAGACAAAGAGTTTTATTTTCTATCATGTCCGAGATTGCTGGCTGCTTTGGTTTATAAATACAGACCAGGAGAAAACAACAGAACACAGAAAATTCTGTTTTGAAGTGTCAAGCATTGTGGAGGGTTTTTTGGCCATCTGCCATCGGCTTCAGACACTGTGGGTTGGGTAACCCAAACTCACCTGCAGCTCTCTTTGTCTTCTCCAGCTGCTAATGCAGAGACTTTCCCAGCTTCCCCTACAGCCTTGAGTAGCCAGGTGACAGAATTCTGGGCAATAAGGACAGAAGTTTGTTGGCTGGGAGGAGGGGGAAATATAATTCTGTGGGAAGTTTGCTCTCTTGATCAAAGGGATACACACAGTTCATACTAACCCATTCTCCTTTTGTGTCTTTCTTGGAAGATGCACATAATATCTGGAGCTGGGCAGCCATCTTGTAACCATGAGTTAATGGGCAAGAATTGTAAACGCATTCTTCTTGACATTGCAGAGGTATTGAAACAAGGCCAGCAGTTGCCTACCTCCCATCTACTTTTTATGTAGGAAAAATAACTCTTTTTGTGTAAGTCCATGTGAAAAAAAATTGTGATATTCAATTTTTTTCTCAACTGTAACTAACAATACTTTTGTAAAAATACATTTTTAAATTGACTTCTAAAATCTCTCATCACAAGTTAAATAATTGAGTAGGATGTCATTTCTGGTGCAATAAAATATTGTGATTTTAAAGTAAACAGTTATGTCACTCTGTTCAATTGATGCAGTCAGTTAATGTCTCAGCAGTTTGATACTCGCGACCATCCATTCCTGACATAGATAAAGAAGCTTCTCATTATCAGTTGGAAATTTTACATCATTCCATAGTTTCCTTGAATTATTATTTCTATTCCACTTTCTTCAGAGAATTTAATTCTATTCTCTATAAATTTATCCTTGAAAGAATTATGTCAGGTATTCTATTATAACCTTAAGCATCATAAATATGTATTCAAATTCAAAGTAATATTTCTATTTCCTATAAGAATGAGGCTTTAAGAGATGAATATTTTTACCAAATTATCTTTCTAAATTTTATTAAAAGCATTAAATTAGCAAAAACACCCCACATATTTCCAATTTGATTAATAATACCAAACACAAAATACACATCTCACAATGAGATAAAGGGCTATTTTCAAATCTTTTAAAATTAATCCATGTGTCTCTAGATAAAAATTATCTAATTCTGGAATGAGATATTTTTATATCTATATAAGTTATAAATGAAAAAATTATTCACATCAATAAGTAACAAGAGTAGTAGGAGTTTTGTTATGACCATCTTGAAAATGATACGCCAAAAATCACACAGAAATCCACCATGAAAAGTTACTTTTAATGGTCTAATAGCTGAAAAATCAAAGTTCATTCTTTATTTTTGTTAAAAACAAAGAATTCCAAATCATTTTAATGACAAAGAGTTCTTGCTTAGTCATTACATTTCAAACTGTCTGTTTGGTACCCCTGTTTTTCAACCCTGGGGCAGTGCACCATGCTGAGAATAAGGATGCGTAAAAGCTGTGTGTTTCTTTTGCAAAATAAGAGTCAGGAAATTGTGAAAAGTGTGACAGGAAACAGATTCAATCAAATAAACACATCACGGTGTTAGGCAGACCAGTGTTAGGAAAGTAGCGTACACATAGGTGGAGACTTATTGTTTCTAGAGGCTGTGTGCCATTCAGCCCTGGAAAGGTCTTCACGCACACATTAAGGCGCAGAGAGCCCAGGTTGAAGGCCACTGACTTAAGCCCCTCTGCTGAGGCTTTCAGTTACTGCTGGCTAGTTGATTTCTCAATGACAATATCTTTCATCTGAGGCAATACGAAGTTCATAAATGGTCACTAAAGGAATATGGAACAAAAAGCCTTGCTCAATAAAATTCCAGGAGAGAAATTATGACAAGGGGAAAGAATGAAATGAAACAAATTATTATTTGGTCTTTACGTCTGTAGCTCTATTCCGTTATATTTGTAGGCTTGCTTATTTGTGAAATCACTGTAAAGTACAGAAAAGACTCACCACTCAATCAAAATGAGAAAGGAATAGTGGTCACTGGGTGCCATCCCTCTCAAGGATCTCATCTACAGACAAGGGAGGGTCTCCGTCACCTGGAGGTGTCTACCACTCTTGTTTGTGGAAGCTTCTCTTCTTTGCATTTGTCCTAACACAAGATCTCTTAAAATTTATCTTGGATTTTTAATCAGGAAAAAGAAAACCCAGAGGATTGAATCACTAATGCAAGTGGTATCTGATTGCTAATTACTGCTATCTTGAGATAAAATTTGAAGAAATGCATAGAAAAATTCGCTCTGACAGATCTGTGTCTCTAAAGTTCTAAATATTCCATTTGAATACTTATAAAAAATAAATGATTAACTAATTTAAAGACTGGCATGGACAAAGGAGCCTCCCTAGGTCTTATGGAAAAAAATACGCCTAAAACAAAATACCCCAAGAGAATTCCCTAGCTGATCAAACTCCCCTCTGCACGCGTGGGCGTGGAATCACCTTGGGCGGGAGGGTCCACCAGCCAGGACCACCATGTGGTAGGGCAGGTTATTCATTGCAAAGAGGAACCCACAAGAGGGACCAGTAGGGGCTCAAACCAGCCCATCTCCACTCCCCAAGCCCTGTGCCTTGGATGGAGGAGGCAGCAGGTTTTCTTGCTCTCGTCTTAATTAGCACCATGGCTCCCTCTCCATCTGTGGTGGCCCCTGCTAGTACCTGCTTCTTTGACTTGGGCTGCTTAGACACATCTACCCAGTTAAATGGCAGAAAGGAGATGAAAGAACCAGGAAAACATAACACACTTCACCACGGTAAAGGACTGCTGTTGCTATTTTGCCTGTTCACCACTCTGAAAGGTCTGCTTTCCACCTGGGGCATTTACAGTGGGTATAAGACTTTCCCTGAGGTCACTAAGTCACAGGGTCACAGGTGGAACAAAACATCTATTCAGCACTTCCTGCCTGACCTCCACAGGTGGTCGAGGCTCTAGTTTCCTCCCATTATTCATTGTCCTTTGTCTTTCTTTCTAACAACACCCAACCCAGCAGCAGGAAATGGAAATGGGGACACTTCTTCAACCTTTTGTGCAGGTAGGGGTGGTCACGAGACTCAGGCCTGGTGAATGAGATGTAAGTGGAGTCTTTGGGTGGCTGGAGTGTCTGGGAAATCTCTTTAATGAGGGCTGACTCAGCTGGCAAGGACCTGATTAATTCACTTTTCCCAATTTTCCCTTGTCTTGCCCAAATTTCCAGGGGCTGGTTGGATACAAAAAGACTATCTGGCAAAACCAGGGTGAGTTTGAGGATGAAAGCTACCTGCTGAAGAAGGCAGATCAACCAGACAGGAAATCTGCACTGTTGAGCACATCATGGAGCCACCATGCCAGCCCTGCACTGCCTGCCTACCTGCAGATCTCTTTTACATGAGGCAAAAAACAAAAGAAAGAGAAGAAAACTCTTAGCTGTCACAGCCACTTTTTTTCTGGTTTCTATTACTATCAGGTGGATGCAATTCCCAAGAGTATGTCATGTAGAGAAAGGCTCAACTGTCAAGAGGCACAAAAGCACACTCAGTTTAAAAAGAAATGAACTTCTTTCTCATGACTTTATTTTTTTAATGGGAAAATTAGAAGACAGCTCACTGCAATGAAACACAGTGACCAAGGCGACTTCAGCCCCTGACTACTCTGCAGCCTCCACACCTGACCAGCAAGGAAGGAGCTCTCTGCAGCAACCAAGGCAGGAGCCAGACACGGTCCTGCAAGGGTGTTTCTGGCCCTGAAGGCACATGTGTAGGACAGGCTTCCTGAACTTGGAAGAGAGTTTAAAGGAGAAACAAATAGAAAATGAAAGAATTAGGAAAGTGCCCATCTTAGGTGTTATTCCATGACAAGTGGTGGAGGCAGGAAAGATGGAAAGAGGCTCAGAAGATACTGGCCATGGAAGCTGGAATGGTTCAGGCTCAGTGCCTGAATAAGGGGCATGATAAGGAAGGTAGGCTTCAAGGCTTAAAGTTTGAGGGTCACTGGTCCAAATGACCCAGGGACAGAATCACAGAATAGTCCTTGCTAACTGGAAAATAAAGAAGGCCACAAGTGCTGAGTAAAGAAATCTGATCATAGGAAGAAGCCAGTGAGCAGGAATTCATAGCACAATTAGCAAGTGGATATGATGTGGAGAACAGGGGTTGCCAGAACTAGTGGGAAGCTCCCAAGAAACGGTGACCCCCCCCCCAAATACTGCCACCCCAGGCTACGCTTGGCATCAGGGCTTCTTCAGTTTCCTGGTCCCACACAGCCACCTGGCCACCATGCCCAGCAGCTTCCCACAGAGCCACATGGTGCCCACGGTGAGCACCAGCAGGAACAAGAAGACATCGAGCAGGTACTGTTCATACCATGGCTGCTGGAAGGCATGGGGCTTGAGGTGCGCTGCACCCCCTGTCTGCAGGATGTGGTTGGTCCAGCCCACCAGCCGCTGGGCAGGAGTCAGGGGGTGGGAGCGTCTGATGATGCTGGCGGCCACGGCTGCAGATTTGTACCTGTTGGCCGAGACAGAGGCGGGGCGTTACTCTTGTGGTCTCAGAAGCCTTAGAGTCCTTGTATCACACACAGGCACTTCCCACCATACGCATAAAGGCTCCATTTCAAGGAAAAGTCCTTGGCCTGGGCTTGCCACTGGCTAGCTCTGTCCCCTTGAAAAAGGTCCAACCGGTACCAACATGCTATGATCTACACTTAGTGCTAAAAGTGAGAAACTATAAAAATCGAATAAGTTTGTAAGAACTAGTCTCTACCACAAGGAGACATAATATACTATATAAAAATATACACATAATGTAATTTAGAGAGAGAGGGAGAGATAGAGACAGTGCACACCTACTTTGAGCTTATGTCTGGACTAGCGACTCATGTGACTCTAGAGATTGTGGCCCAGGAGGACACCAGCACTTTCCTGCCCCTTCAGAGCATCATGTTGACCAGCACTAGCCCCATGGGCTGCAGCCTGCATATTTGCACAGGGCCCCACTCTTAGATGGGTCCTGTGCTTGATTTAATTCTCTGCTGTCACCAGCTGGAAATATTTAAAGTTCATAACAAGGGGCTCTACATTTCCATATTACATCTGCCACCACAAGTTATGAAGCCAGCCCTGACGCATGTCTGGGGACGATCCCAGACCAAATGACTCCTTCACAGGGGTCAGAAGTTCATGGCCATTTTGGGTCTAGGTATTTCAAAACCAAAAATGTTAGAAAACCATTCTTCAGAAAATGAAAATTGCAACAATTACATATCAAATATACATGAAATTTCTGGGTTTGCTGACCCCTGGAACTTAACACCTTTTCTAGGGCTAAGAATCACAAGCTGTATGGCTGTTTCCTACTCATCTAATAAGAACAACTTGTGGGGTTCCTACACGCAAGGTAATATGTTAGGTCTTGAGGTCTGATTCAGGTTTGTGCCCTTGAACTCCAACTTATTCAGTCCCTCTTAGTTATAAAAAATATACACATATTTTTCTCTTCACTTGAGATCATTGTGCTGGATGGGAAGTCAACTAAGAGATCAATGGGCCCTTTTGTTGGCTCACTTAACAGAAATTCCTTCAGACTCACTTTGTGGCAGGCCCTGTGCTGGGTGCTGGGAACATTGTGGAAAACAAGAGACACATGCTGTCCTGGGGCGCTTACTCTCTACTTTCTAGTGTGGGAGACAGACAATAAATTAAAACCTAAAGAAATGAAGTACTCAGATCCTGAGGAATGTCAAGAAGGAAACAATGAATGAAGATTGGAGTGGCAGGAGAGGAGTCTAGACAGTAATGAAATACAAAGATGGCCTCTCTAAGGAGGTAACACTGGACATAAGACCCAAAAGTGATGAAGGAGCCAGCCTTGTGAAGAGAAGGGAAGGCGTGCTCTAGGCACCAGCTCAGACAAAGGTCCTGAGGTAAGGAACAGGGTGGCACATTTGGTACAGGAAGGCCACCTCCTACCCAGTTGGATTCTACTTAAAGCACCCCAATTAATAAGACCTCTCAGAGAGAACCTGTGTAAGTAGTTTGGTTTCCTCACAACCCATAAAGCAGAAAACTATTCTTAGCATTTACCTAAATTGCCTAGTTTTGCTCACAGAGGAAACAGGTCAGCTGTTAACATTGCACACGTATTATTCCATATCTTGGAAGTTGCATTTTTTATCGCAAAAAAGACACACATGGTGCCCTTCATGTTTGATGTCTTCATTCAGCCTACGTGACCACAAGCCCAGAGAGCCACATACCTCTTGTCTTCTATGACTTGCTTCATCTTCAGAGACAGTGTCTCAGCCTTGATCTGCTTTAACTGGATAGAGACACCAAAGTTTTTGGCTTCTACTCGGAACAGGTTTTCAGGCTGGTCTCCAAAGACGGGAATCCCCACCATGGGAACGCCATGTTGGATGGCCTCCATGATGCTATTTATCCCACCATGGGTGACAAAGAGACGGATGTGAGGGTGAGCTGTCCAAATAAGAGTGAGTGCAGAACATTTGAGGATAAAAAGTTTCAAAATACCAAGTAAAGCAGAAAGGGCAGAAGAAAATAACAATGGACTCTCAAATTGTGTTCAAACCATTGTAAAGATAATTTTGCTTCATACACATTCAAGGTGTGTGTTCCAACATACAGGATTCCAAGTCTTGCCTTTGTACAGAGACTCCTTGCCAAAGATAGAACCCAACTAAGACGGATAACCCAGTGAATTCTGTAGAGAATCATGCTAAGCAAGGCATGTATCTCCATCCATCCACCCATCCATCCTTCTGTCATCCCACTGCCTTTCTTTGCTTCTCTCATCTCTTGTTTGCATTTCTCTGTTTCTTTCTCTTGAGCAATCTTTTCTCACTTGCCAACTAATTTTCCACTTCTCAGAATTCCTAACACATTCATTAGCATCACAATATATGTGGCACTCATAAAACTTACAGTGTTTGGGTTTTCTCCTCAAATATATGAGAAGATCCTTGAAAGCAAAGACTAGAACCTACACCTCAGTACTTCCAGTTCCAGTGTTTTCATCCAACGCTTATTTAGAGCTAACTAAAATGATTGCTGATAATGAAGAGTTCCTGTCAGCCTGTGCCACTCAACTGGAATGCGCATCAGAATCTCCTTATGTCTCTTTCAAATAAGAATCATGTGCTCCATCCCAGATTAGAGAAATACATTTGCAGAATTGGAACGAGGAATCTGTTTCTTAAATTCCCCAGATGATTTTGAGTCATAATCATGGTTAAGAGACTCTGATCTAGCCAGTGGCCATGGCAGTGAGGAGTCTCTAAGGAGCATCAGTGGGCACAGAGCAAACCTGTTGAGGAATAAGGAGACTCTCTAGGACTAGAGGCTCAATAGACCAAATAACTGGCTATAAGGTAACTCAGCTCGACACTGAGGTATTTTGGCACATCCTAAAGACACTGTGTATATCAGTGTTGTGAAGGTAGAAGTCATTCACACTTTAGCAGCTAAGGAAGATGTATCTGTGTGTGTGTGTGTGTAAGGGGACATGGGTGAACAGGTGCTCATGAAGACACTAAATACAGTGGCAATGTGCCTCTGGTATGTGTTCTCAGATTTCATGGGTTATTTTGGCCTGTATGTAGGTGACCTTGTTCAAGACCGAATGCCTTAAGTCAATGTGACTTTAATTGCTGCTAACATCCACCCTGGGATAGAAAAGACTGAAGGGGAGATGGCTGTTTTGGCATCTGATCTCACTGGAAGTATAGCCTGATTCCCCCAAGAACTCCAGCTGGCTGCTCCTGCCCCCAGGAGACTTGTCTTTAGCTCTTAGCAGCTCCTTCTCATGATGATGGGTTTGCCCAACTAGAGGTCAGAGCCCTGAGGAGCCCTAAAGACATGTAAATGATAAGAGAGAAGTAGACCCGGGTAGTCCTCACCCAAGAGGTCACTCTGAGGAAGCCAGTCCACAATTTTCACATTTGCTGCTAATTTGATGTCTTTGGGCCAATAAGAAGGCTTACACCTCCATAAGACCCCTTGAGGGAGATGAGCAAAGGCAGTGTTCATCTCCTTGAGAAATTCTTGGGATGAAGAGCCACTGATCATGGAGCCCAGGGCCACAAGAACAAAACCAGAGTCTCCAAACTTGGCAATGAAATTCTCAAATTCCTGGAGAAAGGAAAGAAAGGAAAAGAGATTTACAAAGTTGTTTATGAAACCCAGCACAGTGAGGAATGAAAGCTAGCTTATTTACTGAAGACACCTTCCTGTCACTCCTAGAGCTCACTGTCCTGAATCTATTATCATAGCTCCCGGGACAGCTCAGTATCCTCTGCATTATGCACGTCCCGGTTGTGTTGGTGGGAACATTTTTCCTCTTTGAAACCGTGACACTAGAATCAGAGCCATCTCTCTACTCATTTTGGGCGCATGGAGACATGGGCACTTGGGAGTTTTCCAAAGCCAGACCAGATGTCGTGGTGTAAGGAGGAATTCCAGTGGGGATCAGGGTCCAGCAGTGGGAGGTGGGTCTTCTGGAGGTTAGAGAGGAGAGGCTGGGAGAAGACCTCTGGCATAAGAAGTGGAGGCAGAATAGGGAAGGCACCTAGCCACCCACACCCAATGCGCCATGTCACATGCTTTGCTCTGATATTCCATGATATTCTCAGTCACTGATCTTTGTAGTTCATCTCCTACCTCAGTGGTTCACCCACATGACTGCAAATTATATCCACATGGGAAGACTTTTAAAAATGGCAATGCCCAGCACCAACCCCAGGCCTGGGCACATTAGCGACTTTTTCAATTTCCTCAGGCAATTCTTAAGGAGGGTAGTGACCTAATGTTGCCATCTTGCCTTTAACAGCAGTTTTGTCAATTCTTACTTCCAAATGTTTCTTAGGACTCTGACTCTCTCTGGGATTCTGTGCCTCCTTCCCAGCTCCTACACTCTCATTCTGTTGGGTTGATTCCATCCAGCATAACATTGCCTAATTTACCATCTCAAAGGATGACTTTAAAACAGCCTTATATAATTACAAAAGCTACATAAGGGGGCCAGTCTTGTGGCTTAACGGTCAAGTTCGCGCACTCTGCTTCAGTGGGCCAGCGTTTGCTGGTTCGGATCCTGGGTGCAGACCTATGCATTGCTCTTCAGGCCACGCTGAGGCAGCATCCCACATGTAAAGTAGAGGAAGATGGGCACAGATGTTAGCTCAAGGCCAATCTTCTTCTTCTTCAAAAAACCAACATAAGACCATTACATAGAAATTGGAAAATACAGAAAAGATAAATTGAGAAAAGCCTCCATTATCTCACAGCCATTGCAACCCTCACTCCCATTATGCTCCTGCTTAACAATTCCCTCCCCTGGCCCTATGGCCCAGGCTGGAGTCACTCTCCTGGGTAAGACCTCTGCAATCTGGCCTGGTTATATTTGTGCAATTGAATCTTCCACTCTCTAGTTTAGACAGAGTCACCCAAGGAACCCAGAGTCATGGTCATCTCACTTCTACCTCCACACTTGGGACTCCATGTTCTCCCGTCCTGAAATGCCTCTCCTCTCACCTCCATCCCTAAAGCATCCTGCCACCAACTCAGAGCCCATCTAGTCCATGGATCATTCCTCAACTCTTTCTGCTCATTCAATGCAAAGTCAGTAGTGAAAAGGTAGACACATTAGCGTCTGAAAGGCCCAGACAAATCAGGGCTCTTCTTGGCTCTGAAATGAAAAATAGTGCAGAAGTCACTCGCACCACCTGAGCCTCTGTCCTCTTGTTTATTAAAATGGGGATCGTCATACTACCCTCTAGGTGGCAATATGTATAAAAGATAAATTTCATATAATGTCAAACCAGTGCTGATAGGCAACAGAGAGCCAACTAATCTCAGCTCCCACCATTTTGAAAACTTCTAACAGTGCTTCGGAATCTATGCATTCAAAAATGACTAAGCAGCTTTTACAACTGACAATGCCCAGGCCAGACCCCAGATCAACCAAATCAGGAGGTCTAGTTGAACCAGGGAACCAGAGCTCTACAGGCTGGGGATACTGGAGATGATGCCTACAGTCAGTCCCATGTAGTCCCGCCTTGGTTACAGCCTGTCTCACAGTGTTGTGTGTTTCATTGTGAAGAACTCACCTCCTTAACAATTCTTGCATGTGACAGATGCTTACTGCATACTTACCATCCATATGATCTTACAAATGTGAACAAAAATTATCAACTTATTAAAAGGCTTATCCTGCCAGGACCTGGACTAGGGTGAGACAAGAGAAGACCCTGGAGTAGCATTTAAGGAAGTCCTCAATCTTAGGATTGTACTAGTGCTATCACTGCACTTGCATGACCCTGAAAATGAGTACTTCCTTAAGAAGTGTGCCCTAGGAGCCTCACTTGCCTTCTCTCTCAGGATTACACTGCCAGAGGCAGCCACCAGCTCTGCACAGAAGACCTCTGCATGAAGCCCATATTGAGAGCTAAAGTTTTACTTACTTGAGGTACTGCCTTAACAGGTTTGGCCATTAAGCCTCCAACATACACAGTGTTGGGGAGCAGAGGCCGAGCAAAATCAAAGGCAAAGTCAGAGTTCACAAACCACAACTCTGCTTTCTTTAGGAGATGAGACAAAACTGGCCTAGACCCTTCGGGGAAATGCTCCTTGATGGTGTTGTCAAATTTAGAGTGGATTTGCCGTTGCCTCATGGAGAAATTTAAAAACATCAGAAAATTCTTTAGTCGGCCCCAGAAATCCATATGGTCAGTCAGGAAGGAATGTAACGTTGGCACATAAGACAGAGGTCTTGGTTGTCCAAAGTCCACAGCATCAAACGAGGAGGGGAGAATGGACACATATGGTTTCCCAAGCTTCTCAGCAACTAGGAAAGGACAGAAGTCAAAACTTTCAACTATCACCAGGTCGAAGTTCTCATTCTTTAAGGAGTCCATGATATCATTTCTCTTTAGCAAATGACTGCACTGAAGACTCAATAGTTCCATCAACTTTAAAAAGTCTGCAAATGAGTCTCTGAGAGAAAGAAAATCAGTGATAAACATTAGTTCGAGGTGTTAATTTCACAATACATAAGGAATCTTGGGCTACAAAGAAATTTCCCAGGTGGGCAAGACCACACCGAGCAGCAGCATTCTGTTCCACCGTTGCCCATTAACACCCTCTTCTCAGTCAGGCTGGCAGATGTTCTACTTCTGAGAGAGTTTCCTTCCTCCCCTCTCTTCTCCCCTCCAATCCAAATCCCAAAAGATCCCAAAGCCAGTTCATCAGAAAATTTATCTTGGAATTCTCAGTCCTTGAAATCCACAGGCACACTTGAATTACCTTAACTGAAATTAAATTGCCACTGTTGGGCCTTTTCCTCTGGGAGCCTTCTATTGATATTGGCCCTGATATCAGTTTTCCTACATTAAACCCAGCATATATGGGGTTAAAACCAAAAGCACTCAGGGGCCAGCCTAGTGGTGCAGCAGTTAAGTGCCCACACTCTGCTTCGGCAGCCCGGGGGTTCACTGATTCGGATCCCAGGTGCTGACATGGCACTGCTTGGCAAGCCATGCTGTGGTAGGCATCCCACATATAAAGTAGAGGAAGATGGACATGGATGTTAGCTCAGGGCCAGTCTTCCTCAGCAGTGCTCATCAAGCCATGCTGAGGCAGTATCCCAGATAGCAGAGCTAGAAGGGCCCACAACTAGAATATACAACTATGTACTGGGGGACTTTAGGGAGAAGAAGGAAAAGAAAAACAAGATTGGCAACAGATGTTAGCTCAGCTGCCAATCTTTGAGAAAAGAAGTTATAAATTGTTAAAGCCCAGGTGGCCTTTTGCTAACATTTTGGCTAGTTACAGGTCCTTTGAAGTTTTATTATAGGGAAACTGATATCCAGAGAATATCAAGAAGCTGAAGTTTCCCAGACCCCAACTCCTCAGCTTCCTGGCACCAGAATCCACCATCCACCAAGGAGGCAGACAACCAAGGACATCCACCTGTGGATTCCCTTATCTCACCATCTCCCTCTCTGAAAGCAGCCTCACAAAGCCAAATGCAGGCTGGTAGGAAAGTGCCAACAGGCAAGGCCACAGGCTCCCCCTCCCTACAGGCAGCCACATTCCTTGCAACCTTTAAAATGCCTTGCCTCCCATATTTTGGGGAGACAAGATGAATTTGAGGGCTCACTCTCATCTCCTGGCTCACAGCACCCAAAATAAAAACCTTCTGCCATAAGCCTGGTGTTCCAGGTTGACCTGGCCCCTCTTGTGTGGTGGGTGAGGAACTGATGTTTGAATCCAGCATCACTACGACCATAGCAGACCTCACAGATTGCTTTCTACCTAAATTCTGAGATATTATCCTTAACCTTCACTTACATACTGACTCTTTATAAGTGATTATCTTGTTATTGAGCCATACTGTGGAAGTTACTCGATGACACAGTCCCAAACATATTGACATATTTTTAAAATCACCATGCATTCCGCATATGACAGATCACCTCACCCAAGGGATTCCTTGATGGTATTAGAATTAAAAATCTCAGCTAAAAAATAGAAATTCTGCCCATGGGTTAAGCAACGAAAAAAAAAACCCTGGTTTTGAAATATGGTATTAGCCTTTCCAATTCAGTGCACGCTGTGGTATCCACAGAAGATAATGGCAAAGCTTACTGACAAGTAATTAAAACTTTGTCTATGGGATTACTCCAGAGACCTATCTTCTTGTGATGCTTTCCCATCACTGCCTGTGTGGAACGTGATCATTTTTCTTGTCTGTCTAATTTGTGGGGAAATAGATGAGGATGCCCACCTGCACTTTAAGGCACCAGAGGTAACAGGTGCAAGGGCTCAAGACATCAGGGGCCTGCTGGCTGCCTGGAGGAGCAAGAGAATCAACACCTTGGCACACTTGTAATTGTGCACCACTGCAGCATCACACCCCATAGGTGTGATGAACACATTAGCAATATGCAAATCTCTGCCTGATCTTCAGGGTAAACTTCAAATCTCATAACAGAAGTAACTGGCTGAAGCCATCTATTGCTGGGTATTTTTAAAGATTTCAAGTAACATAGGAGTGGTTGCCAAATATTTTAGATAATTTCAGTAATGCTGTAAAAATTCCTAGCATATAGTTCATTAATCATATTTCAAATTTAGCTAATACATAGAAAAAAATACTTGAAGAATGCACGGTTACCTATACCTGTCCTAAAATATATTAAATTAGGGGAGAAGAGACAAAGCATATACTTAAAATATGTAATGAACAATGCAAGACGATACAGACTAACAGTGAGTGTCAAAGAAGGAGGTCAGATCAGACCTGTACAGGAGGGCCTGGGATCTTCCAATTTGAGGGAGGAAAGAAGGCTTTAGGGAAAAAGTCAGATTTGAGCAGGAACTTGATTAGTATATAGAATTTTCAAGGTCAAAGGAAGGAATAAGGCCATTGTAATTAACCCAGATAGACATGGATTTCTGTACTTCCACTTTTATGTTTAATTTTAGGGAGTTACACATTCCTTTTCATTCAAGATGAAGCAAAAGGAATTAGCTTCATGTCTTGTTTTGCATGAGGCTGATTGCTTTTTAAAAAGACTTTACATGGCCAGAAGGTCAAGTACTACAATTCAATGCTCACAAGTCTTCCCTTCAATAGTGAATACATGTGAGGAAAAAAGAGGAAAAATCAGTGGGAAAAGGTGGTTCTCATTTCCCTATTGAGGTGCTTATGCTTCTGTTTTGCGGAGATTATAGACAAAATTGTAAGTGAAGTATTGCAAGGGAGTACCAGAAAGAACAAGCTCCACTTTCTACACAGATATATTCATGCCTAGAGCAGAAGACAGTACAGAGTAAGAAAGAATCCCCAGAGACTGGATTGGATATTTTGGTGAGAAATATTTGTTTACCCAACCATCCACTCATCATCTATCCCTTCACCCATCCATCGATCCATCCATCCATCCATTCATCAATCCCTTTCTCATATCCTCAGTCCAAGCATACACATATCCATCCATTCATTTGTTTCACTAAAAGAGTGACTCTTTGGTTCAAATACTAAAAAGAAATTACCTCCCATCCAAAGCGTCTTTCATAAAGGAATCAAAAAAATTCATAAATTCTTTGTTATAATCTTCAGGTGGAAGCCAAGTGATAACTTGATATGATTTTTCCTCCTCTTTAAAACCTAAGAAAATATCAATCAGTTAAAAATGGTAAATATGTCTCACAACATGGGTTAACATGAGCATCATGATAGCAACATTTATTTGTTCCAATAATTTTGTATTTATTGGAATGTTTGCCTTTTGATCTATTTTTCTTTGGTTTGGTTGCTTTCTTATTCAATCAATCTTATATATTGAAAACAGGTACTGAGAACCTTGCAAAGATTCAGGAATGTTTTTCAATTTACAGTTATGAAAGGTCCCATTTAAAGTTGCCACTGAAGGTATGTTGGTCTCACTCCAGGGATGAGAAAACAAAGTTAACTGACTTTAAAATAATTTGTGAAAGTTGCACACATAGGAAATGGTACAGTTTATGTTTAAATACAAGTCTCTTTGGTTCCAGAGCCTCTGCTTTATCTGGTTTAGAAAAATTCATTCTCCTTATTTAAAGTGATCCATCCAAGTCATTTTTTGATTCAGTAAAAGGTACTCAATGATTTAATGAAATAGTAGTCCTCGGCACCTCTACTTCCCAACTTGCCCCCCACCCCTTACCCACAAGTAATAAAAACTCTGAGTCTGTTTTGATGTTTGACTGCTGACAGGCTTCAAGCCCCAACTCTCATCCTCTTCTGTGTCTCGCCTGGAAAAATTGTTAAGAAAGTCCCATGATCCCTCCTTAGCCCTAGTGGGAGTTTCAAACCGTGCAAGTCAGACCAATGGGGGGAACCCTCACCCCATCCTATCCCTCCACCCACAATAAAAACTCAAGCTAGACATCCCTCCCTGCTCTGGAAACCCGTTTTTTCAGATTTTCTTCAGAGCCTTTTCTGCTCTTCTAAAATGGCCTTATTATTCGAGTGAGAAATTTTACATACTCTCTTAGTGCAGGTGGGTCTTCATCAGTCGTGACATTTAAGCTAACCATCTGTAGGGACTGGGGAGAGATTAATGTGTGGTCCCACACATGAAAGCTCCCAGATCCAATCTTAGTGAAAATACTGACTTTATCTAAGTGTTTACTGGCAAATACTTGCCATCATACATTTGGCTAATATGTTCTGTTCAGTAACTATTTCAACAGGCTCTCTCCTGTAGCTGCCTTCACCTTGGAAGGAACAGAATATTCCTTTAACTGGTTACCCATGGGGGACTCTAATCGCCCTACCATTGGCCACAATCTTTTTCAGCAAGATCTTAACCATATCCAACTCTCTCCAGGAGAACAGGTATGACATTACAGTGAGGACTTCTTCCTCCAAGGAGATTCATTTGCCGCAATCATTCGAGACATGAAAACATTCACAAAGGACTCACACAAAGGGATGTGCTGTTGCCCCCACACACAGCTCAAGGCCAGTACCTCAGTTATATTCCTGGGAACTGTGTGGTCAGTCTACGGCCTCTCTATCCATGACACTCTCAAGAAACAACTATTGACTGGTGACACCACAATATTTAAAGTCCAACATCTTTAGGTCTTTTTGCATTCTGGAGAACATATTTTTCATTTCTATGTTTTACTTAAGGCTATTTATGCTTTTAACTTAAAAATCAGCCCACTTTGAATAGAACCTCCAACAACAAAAACCTCTAGATTCTGTCCATATTGCAATACAATAGGCACTGCCGTGAGTGCCCCCAAAGTTGCCTTTGCTGTAGAGGTTTTAACTCTTGTGCCTCCTGGAGTTCTCCTGACCAATAAGAAGATTGTATCAATTTCTTATTGTTGCTGTAAAAAATTACTATAAACTTAGTGGCTTAAAACAACACAAATTTACTATCTTATAGTTCTGGATATCAAAAGTCCAAAATGGGTCTCACAGGGATAAAAGCAAGGTGTGGGCAAGCCTGCACTCCTTCCGGAAGCCCTAGATGATAATTCATTATCTTGTCTTTTCCAGCTTTTAGTGGCTGCCTACATTCCTTAGCTCATGGCCTCCTTCCAGCTTGCAACCACGTCACTCTGACTTTTCCTTCCATCATCCCGCTTCATTCCCTCACTCTCCTGTTCTCTTCTTTCTGATAGAAGGCCCACTTAGATAATACAGGATAATCTCCCCATCTCAAGATCCTTATATTAATCACATCTTCAAAGTCCCTTTGCTATATAAGGTAGCATATTCATTGGTTCCAAGGATTGAGACATGGATATCTTTGGGGGGACATCATCTTTCCCCTGTGTTCTGCCCTCTGCACCTGAAACGCTTTTGTATATTCCACATACAAAATGCATTCACCCCATGCCAACATCCCAAAAAGTGTCAAACCATTACACCATCAACTCATAGTTCAAAATCTCATCTAAATATTATCAGCTCAAAAGTCTCCAATTATATCATCCAAAGAATTTAATCAAGCATAGGTGAGAGTCTGGGTATGGTCCATCCAGGGGTAAAATTTCTCTCCTTCAGTAGACTCATGAAATTAGGAAAGGAGTTATCTGTTCCCAAGAAACAATGATGGGACAGGTATAAAATAACCAGTTACTGACCTTATCATTCTAAATGAAACAAAATGAAAAGAAAAAATGAGCTGCCCCTCCTAACAAATTTTGACATCCAAAAGGGTAAACAGTGTTAGAATTTAAGGACTGGAAATAATCTTCTGTAATTAGAAACTCAGCCTTGTGAGCTTGAAGCTCTACCTTTTGGGCTCACTGCTTCAGTCTCAGACTTCTTCTTTGTCCTTCAAAAAAAGTATCACGAAACTACAGCTGAATAGTTTATCAGCTTCTTTCTTACTTTTGGGGAGTCTAACAGCCTTCTTTCATGTAATCCTCTCTCTGTCTCTTTCAGTCCAAACTCGTAGCCGCCCCTGACGCAGGAAGGGTTAATAATCACTGGAAAAAGCTTGCCAACAACTGTGACCTGGAGGTGAGAAGGCCGGTTAGCCAATGACGGGTAAGACCTCCAGGGGGAGGCAACCTGAGACAGGCATCGGTCGCCCGGGGACACAGATGGAGACACAATATCGATATTGGGAGCAGGAGGAGCCATTGCCTAGGAGACCTTGCCTGCTCCGAGATAAAATATACAAGCACAGCAATAACATGATAATATCAAAACAGAGGCCGTGGGAGGGCTCCTTGAGAAATCACTAAGAATTCTTGGCATTCGCTAATTACTTCATCCAGAACACCTGTGTATGTTTAACAGATGTAAGCTATGTATATATTGAAATACTGGTTATAATAAACTCAGAGTGGCCATCAGCCCTCTCCACATCTATCCTGATGTGTACATTGGATTGCAACACCAACAAAACTCACAATGTTTCTTCTGGTATAACATTCTCAAGTACCTTGTGGATCTCCTGGGTATGTCATGGGAATTCACTTCACTACAGAAGAGGCACCTCCACATATTTTACAAAAGAATTTCATCTCTATTATGGCATCTGCCAATATGGCTGATGAGATCCTTGAGTCACAAACTTAATCCTCAAAGAGTTCTCTGTAAGACTAAATATTCTGACTTTCTAATCTTTCAGGGGCAATAGCAAAAAGTTGTCCATCCACATCACTGGTTATGTCTACAAGAGAAAAGAATTCACTGCTTTCCTCACAGTGAATCCCCTAATTTCAGAATCTTTTGCAATCTAGATAGGCTGCTGATTTCCAAAATCACAAAGTCCTAGTTTCTTTATGCTTCATAGCTCTTCCTTCAATTCATCTCTTGCCTCTCACGTTTTACTATAAGCATCAAGAGGCCTTTAACATCTATATTTCTACCAAAATTCTGTTTAGGATGATTTACATATTGTGTAAGACCAAACAGATTTTCTCTACCATGCTCCTCACTTCCTTCTGAGTCCTCACTCGCAGAGTTCTTAACATCTGCATTTCTACTAACAGTCTGTTCAAGGCAGTCTAGGCTTTTTCTATCAGGCTCTTCAATGACCTATCAGCCTCTACCTATAACCCAATTGTGATTTCAGATATTGGTTGGATCATTAGTTGATGTGAGCATTAGAGACAATTACTATTTCAGTACCACTAATGTCATTTAGTTGTTAAAGCTGTAAATAAATAAACAAGATGGGGAAGTGTGTCCAAATGAAGAGTCAATGAAAAGTTCAAAGTTTTCCACACTGAAATGGGCATCAGGTCAGAAATAATAACCCAATCATGAGTTTTGCTTATTTGCAGATTTTTATCCAGGCTGCACAACTGAAGTGAAGAATGAATATGTTGTTTCAAAGCCTCAAAAATGCATATGAATGGGGAATAGTGAAAGAAACTCTAGAGACTTAATCCTGGAAAGTGAGGATAAAACTGAAGGGATCCGTGAACTTCCTGAATTGGTTATAGATTTTGGTGTACATACAGCTTTCAAAGAGGTAGAAGGTTTGTCATTTGTAGCAGTTTCTCAAAGTTCATGGGAACTCCCCAATTTTTTTTTTCGCTAAGAAAGAGTCCCCCTGAGCTAACATCTGTTGCCAGTCTTCCTCCATTTTGTATGTGGATCACCCCCACAGAATGGCCACTGATGAGTGGTGTAAGTCTGTGTCTGGGAGGTGAGCCAAGCCACCGAAGCAGAGTCTGCCGAAACTAACCACTAGACCATGGGGCAATCTCCAATTTTTTGGTTTTTTTTGAGGAAGATTAATCCTGAGCTAACGTCTGTCCCCATCTTCCTCTATTTTATATGTGTGACGCCTGCCACAGCACGGCTTGACAAACAGTGCATAGGTCCGCACCTGGGACCCAAACTGGTAAACCCCGCGCCACTGAAGCTGAACATGCGAACTTAGCCACTGCACCACCAGGCTGGCCTCTGCAATTTTTTAATACCAAATTTTAATATAACTTGATTTAATTTATAATTTTTGTTAAATTTAATTACAATTTTTAAGTTGAAAAGAATTACATTAAAAATTAATATACTACAGCTATTTTATCAGATCTGCTGTCAAGGCAGATACAGAAGGATACGCATATAACTGATGTTTAGTGGAGAATACAGAACCTAATCTAGAAGTGATTAAAATAGTTTTAAGTAGGGACTCAAACAGATATTTGTACACCAGTGTTCATAGCAGCATTATTCACAAAAGGTGGAAACAATGCAAATGTCCAGTGACAGATGAACGAATAAACAAAATGTGGTATATACATACAATGGAATGGTACTCAGCCTTAAAAAGGAAACAAATTATGATATGCACTACAACCTGGAGGAACCTGAAGAATTTATGTGAAGTGAAATAAACCAGCTATAAAAGGACAAATATTGTATGGTTCCACTTTGATGAGGTATTTAGAATAGTCAAATTATTAGAAAAATGAAGTAGAATAGTGCTTATCAGGGACTGAGGGCAAGAGAGTAATGGACAGTTAATTTTTATAGGGTACCAAGTTTCAGTTTGTGACAATGAACAAGTTCTGGAGATGGATGGCAGTGACGGTTGCACAACAATGTGAATGGACTTAAAGTAACTAAACTGTATACAAAAATGGTCAAAATGGTCAATTTTATGTTATGCATATTTTACCACAATAAAAAACTTAAAAGAATTTTCACTGAAAAGAATTGTTTTAAAACAATCTGAACAATAACAAAGCATGAAGTCACTTCCAAAATTTCATAATTTCTCAAAATTTTGCTCCTCAAAGCTTAATACTTTGTTCATTAATACTGGATTTTTTTTTTTTCTGAAAATCAGAGCCTGAGCAACCCTTCAGGTTGAGCAATCTAGAGCTTAAAGTCCTAAATCCACTTAACACTGTTTTTAGCCTGCATGTGACCTTGGGTAAGTCATTTCAGTTCTCTGACGTATTATTCCTTTGTCTGTCAGAAAAGAAGAGTTGATAAGATTTATGAGCTCATTTTGCTAAAATTTTTTTGATTCAATGACGCAGTTAGGAACTTCTAACATCACGATGCACAAACTTACAGGCAGTCACTGATTTTTCAAGAAAACAAGATCATCTCCATGATAGATTCTGATCATAGCTACATAAATAAGGAATTCCCTGAGAAATTCCTTAAATTTCAGATATCATAGGAGGAGAACTTAATCTATGCTATAGAAAAAGAAAAGCTACCCTTACCAGTTAGAAATCCTAATTATGGCTGAACACTTCTGTTCAACGTATTTTCAAGCCACGTTATAAAGCAGCATTTACCAAATAATCTGTAATAAAGTGTGGAGGATTGCATGGTTGGAGTAGAAGTTCAGGTAGAGGAGGAAAACATGGGACTACAGAGCTCAGAAGATTTTCAACACCTTACGTACACACACACACACACACACACGCACACATTCAGATAATTTTATCATTCTTTCAATCCAATAAGATTTTTAAAACTATTTGAAAAGCTCTTGTATGCAAAAAGCCTTGTTGCTCTTTGCCTGGAGTAGAAGAAATCAAGAATTAGTGAGAAAAGATACCTGGTATTAATAAATTTGCTCTCTGGAGAAGCATGGTGACATTATGACCGTGATCTTGAAGAATCTGAGACACTCGGTCCATTAGTAGAAAATGGCTTCCACCTAGGAACAATGCACAACATCATTTTTGTAACGATGAGAGCCGAGGTTGAGGGGTGACAAATCCATAAAAGGAAGGATAGGGAAACAGAAGGTTGATGGCGAGTAGACAAGATGAACTTCGTCAGTCACACTTTCCATATCAAGCTGTGTACACCCTAGCCCACTCCCCCAGAGCCTGCTGGCCCACATCCTTGACCTCTGGCAAACCTCCATCAAAGATCCCCTCATGAGACTCTGGTCTCCATGTCAATGTGATGAACTTCTTGGTGCTCAGGACTTAAGGAGTTCCTGATCTTCAGGCGCATAATGGATTTTAACTGTGGCCATATGGGACATCGTGTCCTAAAGAAATAAGTGCTCCAGAAGAAATTTGGGCACAGTGTTGTGCATGTGAATGTGAAGGGTCCTTGTGGACAATCAATTAGATCTATTTCTGGAATCCTTCTCTTTGGGAATTTATGCTAGTGTAGGAGCCAGAAATGCGGTAGCTTGAATGTGAGTCCAAGAAAGAGCCATTGGAGCAGAAGGACATGGAGCCACCACTTACAGCCCTAATTCTTGAGATTCAAATGTATTTGACAGGACTTTTCTCAGCTGGGTCTGAATTGAGCAGAAAATCAAATTAAGACATTCAGATTAACTGTGGGGGCCGTGAAATGGGCCTGCATGATCCTATATGCATGAAGACTGAGACATCACCCATCCTAGGACAATCCTGAGATCTTAAGGAAAGAGAAGCTTGATCGTGGGGGAGGGACAAGTTCCATCACACTCACGTCTTCTCTTGTATCCCACTCCAACATGGAACCTTTGCTTGAATCTAAGGGTTTTAGCAGCAAAGAAAGTCAGATCAGGAGAGAAGTTAAGGGGAAATGTCAAGAATTTGGAGTTGGGGTTAGAGGGGTGTAGTGCCAGACAAATGGTGTATAGCTATTTCTCAGCTTTTTACACCCAGACTTGCATAGTCTGAAGTAGCAGAGGAGGTATAAAGTACAAATGTCTCACATCTCACACTCACATTTTAATCCATATTAGACCTGGGAGCCCAGGAGAAGGGGTGACCCCACAGGCATCCCATCATGGAGGGTCTGTGAGCCCCAGTGCATCCTGGGACAGAGACGGGGCTTCCAGCACCTCACACAGCACACCATCTCCCTCTCAGAGTCTGAGGCAGGAGAACAGCATGTTTTCAAGAGGTGAGGAAATTCTTTTGCTTCATTGCTACTAATAATCAGAAAGTAAAAAAATGTTTCCAATGGTGTTTCAGGGTTTCTTAAGGAGTGATTATAAAAACCCCCCACTGAAAAGTGGTGATAGTGGGAGCTGTGGAGAGGATGGTCTTCGGGTTAGAAACGCTGAGTGAATTCATGGTGTCTGCCTCAGGGAGGTCTGGTGTGATCTGCCAAAGGCACCTTGCTTCCCTGAACCTTAGTTTCCTGCTCAGGAAAACATAGCGGGGACTGAATTAAATGATTTATGTATACTTCCTTCCACCTCTAAGATCCCTGATTCTCAGTGATCTAAAAGTCATCTAAGAGATCCCACTGTGGGTTGATTAAAATCTTGAGACGCTCCATCCTATGATGACCCTTTATCCTGATATATTTTTTCCTTTCAAATTCTATTCCCTTTGAGGCAAAAAAAAAAAAAACAAAAAAAGGAAATAAAATAGAGGCCACAAAATGCAGAATTAATACGTCTATAATTCCTTCAAACACTTCCAGCGGGGTAGGGGAAAGAGAAGGGCATCCTGAGAGACCGGAATGTTCAGGGTTTCCTCCTCAGCCCAGATCAGCTCTCCAGGTTTCCCTGGGATAAAACCACTCCATCTTCCTAAGTGTCATTGAAATATCTCTCCTGCTCCACCCTGACTTCTACACAGCCTCAGAAAATTAGTGCTTTGCCCCAGGAGCATCCTACCTTCCTTTGCCCTGACCACCAAAAGCCTGCAAAACCCAGCCACCGACTACAGGCAATTGCTGCGAAACCCTTAAAAGTTTTGGATGAGCCTCTGCATGTCCAGCCCGAGCCCAGGAGAAGGAGGCCAGCAGTTTCCTGCACTGGGCTGTATCTTAACCTTCTGGCCCCAGACTGCTGTTATAGGGAACTACTCCTGAGTTAGAAGGGAGAGGAAAGACTATTTCTGTTTTCTCTGCAACTATCTTCTCCACCTCTGTGGTGGGAGAGGCCTCTCTCTGCCTCTACAAACAGCACCCACCCCTTCATCTTCCAGTCAGGGAAACAAACCCGCCCAGTCTGCAAAACCACAGGGAATGACCCTCTGACTAATGGCTGTTTGCCTGAGCCCTGGCGTGAGTGCCTAGGACACGCCTGTCTCTGGATTCTTTGGCCAAGCACTCACCCAGCAAGGACAGAGTCAGGATTTTGGCGGCCTCTGAGAGCAGGAGCCCAGGCAGAAGGGAGGAGATGAGAAGCAGCGCCCGCAGGCTCCCCATGCTCGCTCCTGTGCTGCGTGCCCTGCGCCCTGCGTGCCACAAGGGACTTGTGTGCGCCCGACACAGTTGGCGCCCAAGCGTGAAGGATTGGAGCTGGCTGGGAGCTTGGGAGGTGGTAAGAGATGGATCCTGCCTGTCTCTCTTCTCTCTGTCCCCTCTGGTGCCCTTCGCCCTGCTTCCCAGGCTTCTGTCCCATTGGGTATTCGCCTCTCACCCTCCTACCCATGGGCAGTGGGAAGGAGGGGTTAGTGAGCTGATCCTTAACCCCTCTCTGTCCAGGTACTCACGACTCTGTCCCCATAGAAAACGCTCTGAACCAGGAATGGTGGAGACCTAGGAAATCAAGTGGATGACAGCTCCACTTCAAAGTGGATCAGAGCTATCTCTGTTTATGGACCCTTCCTGAACTTACGGTACTCCACCTCACATCTAACTGATCTAATTACCTCACATTGCCCTCCTCACGCACTATTTCCCTAGGTACCGGCTTAAAGTCTCTTCTAGTGTCCCAAACTCAAGGGACACTGCACCCTGGAAATAGCGTTCATTCCCAGGGAGTAGCTTGTTTCTACTCTCTGGAAGCAAAGCCCAAAGGGAAATTGACCTACCATTCCTGCACTAGTTCTCTGAGGGCCTCTTAAGGAGGGGATTTACTCATGAAGAGGTGCTAGAGTCCTAACTCGGGAAGTCCAGGTTTTTAGCTGAGGACTGAACCTCTAAAGCTGAGACTATAATTCTGAACGAACATCATAAAATAGGACTGCAGATCTTTCTACAGTTTCTTCAGGCACAAGCTGAGGAGATCCTGTAATTCTGCTTTCAGTAATGGCAGCCCTAGGAAAGACAGGCATACAAACTCCAGAAATCATCTTTGCATTTTCTATCCCCGAAACAAGACTGGCTTCAGTAAAGGTTTCATGTAATCTAAAACAGTCAGAGAAAAGACTTAAATGTAGAGCCTGAAACCATACAACTCCTAGAAGGAAACAAGGTGGTAAACTCCTTGACATCAGTCTTGGTGATGATTTTTTTGAATGTGACAACAAAGCAAAGGCAACAAAAGCAAAAATAAACAAGTAGGACTACCCCAAACTAAAAAGCTTCTGCACAGCAAAGGAAACCATCAAAATGAAAAGGCAATCTACTGAATGGGAGGAAATAGTTTCAAATTGTGCATCTGTTAAGGGGCTAATATCCAAAATATATAAAGAACTCATTCAACTCAAGAGCAAAAGATCAAACAATTCAATTAAAAAATGGACAGAGGATCTGAATAGATATTTTTCCAAAGAAGACATACAGATGGCCAACAGAATCATGAAAAGGTACTCCATGTCACTAATCATCAGGGAAATGCAAATCAAAACCACGATGAGATATCACCCTACACCTGCTAGAATGGCTATCATCAAAAAGACAACAAATGACAAGTGTTGGTGAGGATGTGAAGAAAAGGGAACATTTTGTGCACTGTTTGTGGGAAGAAAAGTGGTGCAGCTATTTTGGAAAATGGTATGGAGGTTCCTCAAAAAATTAAAAATAGAACTAGCATATGATCCAGCAATTCCACTTCTGAGTATTTATCTGAAGAAATAAAAACACTAACTTGAAAAGATATATGCGCCCTCATGTTCATGCAGCATTATCTATGATAGCCAAGATAGGGAAACAACCTAAGTGTCCATCAATGATAAAGAGATTGTGGTATATATATACAATGGAATATTATTCAGCCATAAAAGAATGAAATCTTGCCATTTGTGACAATATGGATGGAACTTGAGGACATCATGCTAAGGGTAGTAAGTCAGAAAGAGAAAGACAAATACTGTGTGATCTCACTTATATGTGGAATCTTAAAACAAAAGCCAACAAGCCGAGCTCATATATACAGAGAACAGATTGGTGGTTGCCAGAGGCTAGGTGCGTGAATTGGGCAAAATTTGTGAAGGGAGTCAAAAGGTAGAATCTTCTGCTTATAAAATAAATAAGTCATGAGAATGTAATGTACAGCATAGTCACTATAGTTAATAATACACTATTGCATAACTGAAAGTTGGTAAGAAAGTAAATCTTTAAGGTTCTCATCTCAAGAAAAAAAGTTCACAACTATTTATGGTAATGGATGTTAACTAGACTTACTGTGGTGATCATGTCACAATTCATACAAATATCAAATCATTATGTTGTGCAATTGAAAGCAATATAATGTTGTATTTCAATTATACCTCAATAAAAGAAATTTTAATTAAAAATTTTTTTAAAACAGGCAGAGAAAGTCCTTCAATGTATTCCATGCCTACAGGATGAAGTGGGTTCTTGAATTTTGTTTGTATTCTTACTGTCTTCTGTCTACAGGTCTTATTTTCCCATCTGAATTTAAAGCATTACATTCTAATACATGTGAGCATCCTTCACATAGCCATGCCCATTGTGGTGAGAGAGAGAGAGAAGCAGGGCTTTACCAGGCATCACAAGGCTCCAGCCCATATATTCTTCTTTTACGTCTCATATAGTGCTAGCAAAATAAAGGATTTTTTAATCTAATTCCAGACTTATGCATTTATTCAAAAACTAAATCAATACCTAATTATATTTCAGGTACTGTTCTGCTAGGCAGAAAGATGCTAAACACAATAACAAATAGAATATATAGTATGTTAATGGCAAATGCTACCAAGGAAAATCCAATAGGCAAGGAGATGTGAAGGGATAGGTATCAGGAATATTAAAATTTTAGATGGTATGATTCAAACAAACTCTAAACATTTATGAATATCAGAGAAATAGGAACACAATGTATGATGATATTTAGTAGTTACTATCAATTTAGAGAAGTGTTACAGTGTTATATTGTGGTTATTTAAAAAGAGATTCCTTGTCTCTTAAGATACTTCTGAAACATTTACAGATGAAGCGTTATGATGTCTGGGGTTAGGGATGGAGGTGAGGTTGAAACTGGGTGAGTATATAAAGGAAAGAAAATCTGTCAGGAGTTAGTAATCATCAAAGCTGTGTTACACATGGGAAGTTCTACTTTTATGAATGTTAGAAATGTTTCATTAAAAAGTTTTTAAAACTCTCCTAGTATGATTTTAATTTTTCTTCTTGTTATTTCAATTTTGCTCTATACACTTTGAGGCCACATCAGTAGATGCGTACGCATTTACAATTACAGTTTCAGGTACCATATCTTCCCAGTGAAACAATTAATCTCTGTTATGAAAGCACCAATTTTGTCTCTAGTAATGCTTTTCACCTAAAGTTTATCTTGTCTGATACTATTCCTAACTATTCAGGTTTTATTTTCCATTAGTATTACATGACCTGTCTTTTTCTATCCTTTTGTATTCAACTCTCACATATCCTCATATTTCGGATGTGTCTCTTGAAACAGCAAACAACTTGATGTTTTTAATCAATTCTATTGAACTAGATAGGGTTCAACTATCTATTCAACTATTGAATAGATAAGGTCATTAAGAGAAAAAAGAGATATTTGATCCACTTGTCTCCTACTGTCAATTTCCATAATTTCTTAGTTTCCATAAACCCAGTTCATTTCGAGATTAATTAATGAAGTTATTTCCCACAACATCAACATGGTATTTCACATTTGGTCAAAAAGAAATTTTGAGTCAGGCAAAATATTCTAAACTTACTAAGTTTTCATAGGCATGAAACATGTCAGACAAATGGGTCTGTACATACACTGTACAGATATATTTAATTGTGGAAAAGAGTTACTGTTTCCTTCATGTTCCTGTTCATAACACACTGAATGACATAAATATCCAGTGAAAGACAGATGTAGATATCCACTGACATGCAGAATTCTATAGAAATAATCTGCAATGAAAGTCTCCTTACTGTGTGGCTTTTGTTTTAGGCAGAGGGCTTAGACAAGGTTTACCTTATCTGACTCTCTAGTTTCATATTTTCTGGAAGGCCCCACATTTTTCCTGGTTTCTTTTCTTCTTTCATCACCAATATTCAAAGAATGCCTCCCTCCTTCTCTTTTACCCTTGTCTCCCTCAGAAATGAAGCCTTTCCAGGACAGTTACCTTCGTTCCCTCATATATTTCCGTCTCTTTCCTGGTGTCAAAGCTTTAGTCTCCCAGGATTCTTTTTCAGAATTTTCAGACATAATGTGGAGTTTATCTTTCTGGGCAAAGCTTTAGCTTGTCGTGGGGCCTTCTGTGGCTCTTTCCTCTTTTATGGACTATTTTTCTGGACTCACTAGCTCTCTACAAAGCTTTGTAGCAGGAGTTCAGGAGACAGCTCTGCTAAAATCTGATGTTGAGTTTTCTACTTAAGGGAAGGAGTCAGCTTTATTTGCTCTTTGAGTTGATCTTCACGGTAGATACGGCATCAATTTACATGTAGTCTGTGGAGGGCCATGGGGGAGAAAATTCCCTGTGGCATGCTGCATGTCCTCTATCCTGATACCCACTCCAGGATTTTATAAACCTTAATGCCAGCCAAAGGGGAGGAGACTGGCAAGAGTGAGGTAGGCTTAATAAGGGCACCATGCGCATGAATGCTCCGGTTGATTCTAACACCTATTGATAAGTGTAAAGTCCCCATTCTCCCACACGCGTGAGGACATTTCTATGTTAATACTTACCCTCTCGTCACTAGTACAAAGTCTTTAGAATGTAAGATTTCAGAGAAACTAAAAGAGAATCCTATTGCAAATCACGTTTTCAACAGAACACCAAATTGGGTGTCTTTCACCCTTCTTATACCACTTTAGGCTCATTGCCCATTGGTTTCTGGCAATAGTCCCTTTGGACAGCACCCAGCCCTCTCTGTGCTGTCCTTGGAATCAACAGCCACAATTCCATTTCCCCTTCTCACCTGCACAGGACTCAAGGGCTGGGTATTCATGATGGAGGTTATCCCCTCCCTCTCCTTGCCTGTGGTCCCCATTGCACTTAGGAAGTCATTGAGGCCAGCTCTGGATCAGGTGCTTCCACAGGTCCAGCCAGAGACTGTAACCAAGAGACAAAAGTTTTTATTTTCTATCATGTCCAAGATTTCTGGCTGCTTTGGTGTACAAATATAGACCAGGACAAAATATCAGAACACAGAATATTCTGCTTTGACCCATCAAGCATTGTGGAAGGTTTTTTGGCCATTTGCCACCTGCTTCAGACACCACAGGTTG